GGCTAAATCCCAAATGTGTCTATTCTCATTTCTGTCTACGCAGGCTCACCTCGACAGAATGACCCTTAAAATGGCTGCCATCCTGTGGCCTTTGGGTCTTCCAAATATCGGGGTGCCCGGCCACACACTTGGAAGGTTTGAATATTTAAGAGTCAAGAGCTAACGTTACCGTGTCTTTCAGGCCACTGTGCTGTCGAAGAAGCGTCCAGCTCTGCTCTCTTCACAAGTAAAGCAAACATTTTCCCACAGGTGCACATGTGAGAGTACTCGTAATTAAATCAGCAGGTGATTGACTAAAGATTGAGCACAGGTGTCAAATCCAGAAATCTGAAAAGTTTGATTTAACCACAGGACCTCCAACTCAACCAGCTCCTCTGGTTGAGTAGGCGCACCTGTGGCTAAAATCAAACGGTGGTGGTGCTCTTTTCTGGCTCTCTCTCACACTGAGACAAATGATCAGATTCGCTGTCTGGCTTCCGCCGACCTTGCTGATGATCTGATCATTTGAATCAGGTGTTGCACCAGGGGGAAATGGGGGAGGGGAAAAGGGCGGGAGAGTGGCCCCAACACATTTCCTCAACAAGTGCGTTTGTCCTGCTCTCATCCACCAGGTGGTGCTAAAGAACCAGATAACACGTTGTGAAGTCGAGTCGTCAACGTTTGGGCCTGTCGCAGATTTCCAATCCAAGTCCTTGAACTGTTTGTTGGAGGCGGCGCTGGTGCAGGCCCTCAGGAAACGTGGCGTCACGATCCACCTAATGTCATGCACGCTGTCAAGTGACGGAAGCTACAAACAAAAAGCACGGCACATTGAATTTTCAAGCACACTCACCTGCTTTTTCTTTCCTTCTGCGTGCAGTGCAGCTTCCAGTCAGACCCTCCGCCTGCTGGGCAAAGAGACAAATGCGACAAGCTTGTGTCTGCTCCATTTTCAACGTTGCCATTCAAAGGTACGAAACAGGAGCTTGACGGGTCTCGTTTGGCACTGGCAGGTTTGACCACCTTGGATGAGTCACTGGACCAAGTGTTGCAGCAAAAGATTCCAGTGAATCAACACCTGAAAGCAAGTTGAAAAACGAAGAGCTTGTGCGGCAGCAGCTTCGAGTAAAATGGAACTGCATTTTGGTTCGTAATTGGTGTCTACTCACCTGTACTTTGTCATCCAGATGAAGCTGGAGGAGTATGAGGCAAAATGTGACTCTGAGCCATCTGCTGGTGAGAAGGCTCATTTCATTTAAACAGCATGTTCTCCACAGAGTTGAAGATTATCTCCCCCCCCTTCAGGCAGCAGTAAACATGATCGGCTTCCTGCACAAAAGACCTAACAACTTGTCTCTTGCTGGTAAGTTTCACGCCGAAAACATCTTTGTCTGCACAAGACATTGACTTGCGTGTAACTCACGGATGTCTTTTCTCTCAGGTCAACACACCTGTCCTCCGTTGTTCTCACGAGCCGACCACTTCGCCACACAGCGACAAGCAGACTGCCATCCAACTTGCAACTTTTTCCTCTGCTTTGTGATTGTTTGTTCTGCAAAAGAAATAAAGCTTGATTACAAAGAACACTTGAACACTCAACTTCATTCTTAAACACATCACAAAAATATAACCTAAAACAATTTGAAACATTTAACAAAAAATACATTCTGAATTTTTTTCAAGAATTTTTTTTTCCCCCCAAATTTTTTTTCCTGGATTTTTTTTTTCGGGAAAGATTTTTTTCCTGGGCAGAAAAATTGAGGAAAGTGGGCGTGGCATAGCTGCAATAATGGCTCATGATTCGCTGATGGCTGTGAAAGTGGGTGGAGCATGGCAATAACATGCTGCGATTGGTGGAAACGAGGGCGTGGTTATGCAAATTAGGCGGGCCCTGATTGGTTGGGTCTTTACGGGGCGTGGATATGCAAATTTGGAGCAATCTGATTGGTCGGATGTTGGGAAGTGTGCGTGGTTATGCAAATCCGAGCGTTCTGATTGGTTATGCAAATTTATGCAAATGAGGGCCTCGTCGTGATTGGTGGATGTGAAATTGGGTGTGGTTTGGGCAGCCTTTGCAGAAAAATTTCTAAGTCCCACTTGAGTTTTGAGGTGAGAGCTGCCCTTCGGTCACACCAGACAGTCTTTTCACTGTTCCCGTCGGTTTCACATGACCCAAAAGCTCAATTCTTGGAGTTTCGAGTCATGTGGAGACTAACGGGACAAGCAGTGTTACACTTGTGGCCATACGAGTGACTGATGTGCAACTCTCTCCTCAAGACTTGAGTCTTTGAAAGGTCTTCCGCTGCAGTCACCACTCAGCATGAAAGGCTTTGAGTGAGTTGAGGATGGACTTAGTCATGGAAGGCAAAGACTCGAATTGAAGTTGAACAATTTATTGGACAGAAAAGCGAACAGGACAATATGAAAGCATTTTACCAGTCACTGTTTGCATGGGCCAGTTCAAGTTGCACACACACAAACACTGACGACAGGCCCGAGATGGGAGCAGCTTAAGTCTTACATGTGCTTGCTCAGCTCACGTGTGATGTCACATCTCAAGACACACCAAGGGGGACATCCAACTTCTCTCACTGAAACAAAAACTAAGTGCCGTGTACTCCACAACATCATGATCACACTCTTCTGGGAAGTGCTTTATGATGTTCGGGTTGTCAATGAGTAGTTGCCAATGTTGTGCAGTACACGGAGCATAAGTTTAAGTTGAGTGAGAGACAGGCAGGCGCACTCACCTCCACATTGTGGTGTGACGTGACATCAGACATTAGCTCTTCAAGCACACACCAAGGCTCAAAACTCACATGTGTCCAAATGCAGGTTGGGCTCCCTTCTGCATGTCCTCCGAGTCTGTCGGCTGCACCTTTGGCCAGAAGCCTCTTCAATCTGTCAGGCAGAAAAAAAAAATCGTAAGTCACACTCTTGTCCACAAACAAAGTTGTTTTGTTTTTTTTGAGCCATTATTCGTAGAATAAAGCGGCAGACTTTCACTTTTAACCCGCACATGCAACGCATCTGTCTGAGCGATCCGCTCGCGGCTTTCTCTCCACACCTCAAGTACATTGAGCAACCTCCTTTCAATCAACTGCTCAACTGATGAAAAGACTCAACATCGTTCAACCGTCCACAAAAGAAAAACTATTGAGATACGCCTCATTTGTTGCATGGCAGTCAGTAAAGAAAATACAGCTCGAGCTTGTTTCGCCTTAACCCGAAGGACCATCACATTCTGCCTCATCATCTTTTACGGCGCCGCAGCAGCCGACCAACGGGAGAAAAAGGACGCCTTCGTGTCGAAGCGAAACAAGCTTGAGGTAAACAAATTACGGCCGCGTTAAGAGGTCAGATCAAGGCTCGTTTTCCATTTATTCAATTCCCGAGTTTGAAACGGAGGTATACTGTCGGTCGTTCGACGAGGAAGGGATCTCAAAGTCATGAAAAATGGGACACACCACAAAAAGAAACACGTGAAAATCGTGAATGGATTTGGGGACCCGAAAACACGTGTGAAAATAAAAACTGCCACCGTATGTGAACCCATCACACTTCCACTGTGGACGGCAGCATTGGTGTGGTTAACATACAAAATAACATTCAAGCCAAACTCTCTTGTTGATTGGCTTTTGATTGACAGCTGAGGGCGAGCTAACTGGCCACCTTTGTTGTTGTTTTCACGACACCTTCCAGTGACTTAGTAACAATAAACTAATTCAAGTAGCAACGTGTCATAATTATGCTGCTAAATCATACACGCAAATACATTTACAGATAAACGGCGAAGAGTCAGTTTAAAATGTTAAAATTACTCACGGAGAACCGGGCTTGTAGTCAGCGGAAAAACTTGCTCGTTGAACCGGATGTGGCACCGTTCTTGTTCTTCTTCTTCTTCTTCTTATTCTTGGTGGATTGGATCTCCTTGGTCCATACCGCCCCCTACTGTCCATTTGCATGAACAGGAGATAAAGATGAAACGGAAGAGACATGTCGTTTGCCATCAAGACATTTTGAAAAATATGTCTTTATATAAATGAGTATGTGAGTTTGCAGTAATTGCACACAATACAATACATATTGATTTCCACAGCGCTTACATAACAGCTATAATGAAGCGCTTTACAGAATTTTGGCAAACGATCCTTTGCCGGACATACCCCCGGGGGGGCACACACACACACAACACATCCACTGATGCATTTTCGTAGCTCGAGAAACTACGTGTTGCATGGCCTAATGGTTCAGGGCATCGTGCAGTAGTTCAGCGAACTGAATCTCACTTCGTGCGATCACCACTCGCTGCTCCATTTTTAATTTAAGCAAGAATCGAACCCGGCTGTCCTGTTGACCACGTCTGGTCGTTGTGCAAAGGAACGGGAGTCCGTGTTGGGGCGTTAAATTTATGACCACCCATGCTTCACCATCTGATGACGACAAAGACATCTCATAGCAGCAACGTCGGTGTCGCTAAATAGTTAAGTGGTATGCGACAGTGATTCTCGATTGTTGAGTGTCAGTTCGAGTCCAGGTCTTGTCTAGAAGCGAACTTTTTTTTTTTGTTGCCTTTTTTTAACCTTCGCTCATGCATGGATGTGACCCATAGTTACATTAAAAAATAATGCAAACTTCAGCGGCAGAATGGTCTAATGGTAAAAGAGGACATGTGATAGTCAGGCTTCCTGGGTTCGAACCCCACTGTCTGCTTCATTTATAGATTGAGCTTTTCGAACCCAGGTTTTCCAGTCACCACAAAACATCATGAACCATTCGACCGCCGTAAACCACTTTAGTTGCTTTGTGGCTGGTCATATTTATATAGTTATGTACTTCCATGGTTCACCATTTGATGACGACAAAGACATCTTTTTGCAGCACTGTCCGTGTCTCTCAGTAGTCCAGTGGTATACGACTGCAGTTTCGGACTCCTGACCCGAAGTTTGAGACTGGACCTTGCCAGTCGGCAAATGCTTTATCATTTCGCTTTTTTTTCTCCTGTGTTTATAAAAAAACACAACCCTTTATAATTTTTAATCATATTAGCAATGCCCAGAGTGGCTTTCTGATTCAAAACCATAACCAAATCATAAAACTTTAATGAATACCTCTTGGCACCTTAGGATCAGCCAGTCACTGACATTTTAGGGCTACCTGAAAAGAATGCAAACATCTTCCTAAACTATTAGCATGATAATGACCATTTTGCCTTGTGGTTCAGTCCCTGCCTGGCATGTCACTTCTCATCAAAATGTTTTTTTTCCCCTCTTTTGAGGGTGGCTCACTTGCTGAGAAGAAAACACAGAGACCTACTCAGGAAGATGTTCGGAGATGAACAAGGGAAAAGTGAGAATCCATGTTTGAGCTTGTTTCTTTGGAATGTTGTGAGGCCAGTGTTGAAACATGTTGACAGTTACTCTGCTGCTGCTCTATAGAACAGGTATATGACAGTACATGGGACAGATAAAATAAAAAATATACTATCTTAACAGGCAAGAAATGTGCACGACGACTCCATGCATAAAGTTTAATGTATGATTAGCATACTATATATAACAGTAATCCCTGGTGTCTCACGCTTCTCCTGTCGCGGTCTTGCTGTATCACAGGGTTTTTTCCCTCCCGTGTCTTCAATTATGTTAACGTGCAAGAGGGAAAGTTTAGCTCAAGCTATAAAACTTTTTCCACATTAGTATTGCCACTCCAAGGTGAGTTTACTTGCATAGCACCATTCATACACAAGGAAAATCTGTCGTGCTTCAGACTAATCCCGGGGGTATCCCGCCTTTTGCCAAAATTCAGCTTCCTCCCACAGCGCAAAAAAAGATACATGCCTGGTCAGCTGGGCTTGGCTCATCTGCGACCCTATTGAGGACAAGCACGACAAAAAAAATCAATGGATGGATGTTAATGTAGCAGAGGTGGCGGTGGGGGGTGCTGAGGTGGTGGCACGCTACTTGAAGTACCAGTGGGTGGTGGTGGCGGTGGAGGAGGCGGAGGAAGAGTAGCAGCTGTCACTACAGGTGGAGGCAACGATGGAGGAGGAGGTGGGGCAGCTCCTGCGACAGGAGGAGGTGGAGGAGGAAGTGGGGGACCACCTACAAAATGAGGTGGAGGGGGTGGTGAAGGAAGAGGAGCAGTTCCTGCAGGTAGAGGTGGTGGAGGGGGAAGTGAAACGGGTGAGGTGAGGTTGCTTGGTGGAGGCAGAGGAGGTGGTGGCGGACATGTTGGTGAGGTCAAGCAAGGTGGAGGGGGCAGGCCAATGTCCATCATGGTAGGAGGAGGAGGAGGTGGTGGTGGTGGTGGTGGTGGAGGAGGAGGAGCAGATGAAAGGTTGTCGATTGTAGCTTGAGGTGGAGGAGGAGGGAGGTCATCAGTGAAGTTGGCGTCAGCAGGCAAGGTGGGGACCGATGGCATCGGCACAGCGATGCCTTGGTTGGAGCTACACCCAAATAATTGACGAAAAATGAGAAATTAATTTTTATTCCATAAATAAAATCAACTATTGTCTGTTTTTATTTTCTATTGATTGAAAATGGATTAATTTTTTTGCTGAAACATCATAGCTTTATCTTACAATGCATGGTGAAATCCGTCTTGCGTCAGTTTTTATCGGTCAACATTCAGTGCCTCGGATTGACCTTAAATACATTCATTTCAGGTGTTCTAGTAGGCTTTTCTGTGTTTGCTTCCTTTTCGAAGCGTGTTAGTGTTGAAACTACACCAAACCCAAAGACAATTTCCAAACTTAAAAAAAAAAAAATTGTTGACGTACACAGGAGCATCTGCATTGCTTTCCGTGCTGTCGGTGGTCCCTGTCCTGTTTCTGGGGGGCTCCTGTGAGACCTGTTGGGGTTGGAGGGAGGCTGACATTGTTGTACTCATTACAGTCAGCGCATGGCACTCACCGTGTGACCTTTAAGGTTACCTGGAAACAGTGTCCAATGGCGTCCAAGCTGGAGTACGATATGGGTACTCGTGGATAGCTTCTCTCCAGCTCCTTGCCCGAAGCGGGCGGAGCCACAAGCTTGGCGCGCGTGTTGTTTTTAGATGTCGTGAAGATGCTGATCTCTCTCCTGGCTACCTTCTCGTAGTGGATAGAAGCTGCCTGGATCAAAGGGGGAAAAAAAAACATTTGGTAAGAATAAAGTATCGATACTTAGGTATAAAAATAACTGAATGAGTTTTCAAAGGCCAACGCCACTCCTCACTAGTGACATGAGGTTGACGGAGGACTCAATTTTCTTGATCTGAATGGCTTGAGAGTCAAGCAGTCGGAGCAGCAGAGTGGCCACGCTGTTGATTTGATAGGTGACGCTGGCCAACGCCTGAGTGGCCAAAGCTTTGGCCTCCTCAAGAGCTTTTGTTGGCTCATCTGCCTGCAGAATTTCATTCACACACACACACACACACACACACACACACACACACACACACACACACACACACACACACACACACACACACACACACACATACACGGTGTTTGCCTTCCCTTGGAGAACAAGTCGAAAGAAAACTCAAATATCCTACTCGATCACAGTTAGTATCATAAAGTGCTGGCTTTTTAATAATACTTCATGTTGCAAACACGTACACGACTTAAAGCTGGAGTAAGTTTTGTCGCCCCCTATGGTGGAATACTGCGTTACAACACGTCCTCGACATGACAGACCATCTCTTAAATGTAAAACCGTAATTTAATCGTTTGGCATTTAATTATATCGTTGTATAGTATTGCAACTGGCAGTCTTCTTCAAAACCAAGCATCATCGTGTGCATTTTTCATACATATTTGACGTGTGGTTGGAGGTCATTTGTCACCTGCAGGTAGTTGTTTTCGCAGTAGTCTGCAACTTGCTGCAGGTTGCTGTGGTTTTCAATCAGGTTCTTCCTGGCCGTTGGCGCCTCTTCGAAGATCTGAGAAATAATCTGAGAAATGTTTTTAGCTTCCGCCATTGCTCTTTAAAAATGCTTTAAAAAATCCTTGACTGCACACTACTTCATGTTGGTACTTGAAGGAGGAGGGTTGTGTGCTGGGTTCTAACAGAGGCGTTGCACCATTGGCGAGGAGGGCGGGGAGTTCGTGTCTCTTTTGGCAATTGGATATTACTTTTGGAAAGGCAATGCACCATAATGCGGACAGCACATTTCATCCACAAGTTAACTGAACGTCGTTAACATAAACAACACTTAAAAGCATCTACAAAAAATAAGTAAGACATTTAAAAGTAACTCAAATTACCAACTCATATTTTTGATCCAAAAAGCATCATGCCAAAAGTCACACGCCTGGTTTTTGGGTTTATACCTCCTTCTAGTGGACAAACATGATCAATGACGCCAATAAATGTTCAGACCATATTTCAGTGAGCAACGGTGTGCAAGAGTGTGCGGACGAAGCGATTCTTTCTTGTTCATTAGGGTTTTTTTTTTCAAAGTTCGCAAAGACGTTTATGGGGCAATTATTGTCACTAAAACGATAACAAATGCGTATTCCGATCCACAAATATGGCTCCGTAGCTGCACATTCGGACCACCAGAGGGCGCCCATACCACTAATAATAGCGATTTGGCAGGAATGTCGTTGACCGGGCCATCGCCAAAGCTGAACTGAGCAAATTTGTTAGTTCAGAAGTGCGTATCAAGAGAGCAGCAGTTTGCATTACTTGGTGCCAAAGAAGTAGCCCTCACTTTTAAAAATGGTTGGTGACTCCTTATGTACACTGTACTCAACATTATTATTTGTTGTGTTCATGATGATGATCAATCAATTCTTAAGGCTCCTTTCTCAGGTTAAAGATTCCATTTCCCCTTTTATTATTTCATATGGTGATTATGGTTTCACTTCAATTTGATTTCTGGTTCCTAAAAAGTAGCCAGTGTGAGGGGAGCAGTGCCACTTGACAAGTGGAACAACAGAGTCAAACCGCTTCATGTTTTTCAGGAAATGCTGTAGGAACAGTTGGAAGTCGACCAATTACAGCGTAATAGCACCAAGTGAGTGTCCCTGTGGGCGGTTGGCCAGTTACCCTACACAGTTCAAAAAAAATCAGCGAGATTCCACTGGAGTTGAGACAGCAACGCTCTGCATCTAAAAATAAATAAATAAATCCCACGAATGGGAAAACCATCGGCCCGTTAGGAAAAGAGATTCCCGTGCGTGAGCTTATCAACTGACTATTTGAGTCCGTATTGAGCCATGTGACAAAGTGCAAAAACATTTGGTTGGCGCGGAACCACAACCACAGGTGTGTAAACACATTGATGTGAACTTTGAGTAAAAGGGAACGACAACATATAAATGCGTCAGATGCTCAACGCTTTGGTTGAATCGAATCTCATAACAAGGCACACTTTTGACCACAAGTGATAAAATAACGAGATGCTGTTGCAGTGCTACCGACAAATGTCTTCGCGTATTCATTGAGGGCTTTTCAATGACTTACCTGAACTTACTTTTTTTCCCCTGGGGGAGTATTTTTAACATTCAAACCGATGTTAAGTAGGAGTCAGCACACATCCGCCACCACTGAAAGTGCGCACGCATTGCAAAAGCTTCAGCCTGAAAGTATAATTGGAAGAAAACAATGTCAGGAAAAGCCTACTAAAACAGCCAAGCTTTATATGGTATTTGATTCTCATCGTTTCTTGAACCATTTTTAGCTATCGCTGGTACATTTCCCTTTTCTTAACAAAAACCTGTCATTAAAAACCTGTTTTTTGAGAGTAGCGGCAAGTTTTATCTTTAAACTTTACCCAAATCAACCTCTGATCTACTCAGTTTGAGGCTAAAGATCAAACTAAATGGTGAAAAGAATTTTTTCCAAGTCACAGCGATTGGTCCCCCCCGTCCCCTTTTTTGGTGGTTTTCACCCTAATCTAATCTAATCTAATCTTGCTGGCCTCCTCCCAGAAATCAGCGCCGTCAAAGTTAACCGTTCACCCGAGCAGACGTCAGAGCACGCAAGTTATGTGGAGTTTCCTTTAAAATGTTTCCTTTTCAATGCAGAAGTTCGCCTCAGCGCTTTAAATATGGTTCCAGTTGACACATTAGTCACACTCCGCGACCTCAGACATGATGTCAGTCGTGTCAGAGCCGCAAATGCGCAACCGGAATCTGGTAACCATCAATCATCATTTTCGCGCTCGCAAAAAAAGCTCAATGCAAACGCCGCATTTTGTGGGAAAAATATTAACAAGAGACTCAATAAACTCGGGGTTTTGAAAAAGGAATGCGTCTTGCGTCTCATGGGCAATTTGAACATGAATTAATCAAAGGACGTGACAGCACTATCGAGTCAAGATATCCTATCGCGGGGGCACGCCTCCCTCGCTGATTAGCTGCATTCAGATGGGACGACGCACATTTCAGTCAGCGCGGCTCTTTTACGCGACATCCTTCCTCCCTCGGGAACAAACACGTGCGACAATCGGATCGGGTACTTTTGAAGCGCTTCTCTATCTTGACGTTTATCCTTGTATCTATCTACACGGTAGATAGATTGATGGATAAGGCACATCGTTTACATTAGATGAGGGGGTGCCCAACCTTTTTCGACCGAAGATCAATTTTTTTTCGAGCAACCGACCTCCCGTGATTGACCCGACACACACGCGTGCCACGATGAGCAACGGCCATAACGACCCAGAACACGAACCAAACAGAAAAATAAAGTCACTACACGCAAAAAAACTAAAACTAATACACAAACTAATAACTAGACTAAAACCAAACATTTTTGAAAAAAAATAAAAATGAATACAACCCAACAAATCTGCACCAAAAACTAAATAAAAACACAAGTCAAAATGAAATAAAAAGTAACTACAATGAAAAGTCCCAAACTATTTAAACCCTGGTCGATACACAGATTAGTTGTTATCGTTTTTTGGGAGCAATTAAGTTAAATTGGATCATTTCCTTCCCCACACTCAATGATCTCTTCATCTTGGTTGTGAATCACTGATAAAGAACACGTCAATATTAGATAAGATGTGACACCTGATGACACGCGACCTTCCTCCAACATACACACACATACACACGTACACACACACACACACACAAAACACATTACACAGCAGTATTCACGGGCAGTGGTGTGCAACCTACACCCAAGATTGGCTCCTCTAGGCTATCATAGTCCCTTCACACCTCACAGAACTCCATTACGGGGGTCGGGGGGGTGGCGCAGTCAATTATTTGGGGATTGGAAGAATGCAGAGAAAATCACTTGCAGGACCCACACAGATTTACACACCCGCGCCCGCGCTCAGAATACAAAACAGCAGTAAGCACATTGCCGGTGGATGGATAAAACTTTGATCACTCCCCACCCGCGGCTTGAGATGGTCTCATCATTTGCACACGATCCCGCCAAAACCGAGCGGCGAACAACCACGAACCACCTCTGCAGGGTCTCTTAACTTACTCGCCGAGCGTCATCAGTTTATGATTGGTCAAGCTGTCAATAAGTTGCCAGCTTTGGTCTGCGTAGACATCAGCAAGTGTGCGGAGATATCGCATATCTTTGAAATCAGCGGCGTAAATCTTTATGGAGATCCAACGGGATGGATGGTTCTTGTCTTTGTGTGTTTTCAGTCCAAAAGATAAGACGATGTGACCATGAACGTCTGATGGAGTACGACGATAACTTGACCACCTTTTCACCCCAAAGGGTTTGAATACTTCCAGAGTTTTTTTTTCTTTTCAACGGTTTAGTTCAGCAGTGCCGGGTTCAAGCAGTTTCGAGAAACTTCACACGTGGCTCCAAAGAAGACTATTTTTCCGATTAATTGCGACGCGGTTGAACAAAACGGGGACGGCGAAGCCAAAATGAATTTAGCGGGGTCACGCCAAAGTCAAGGTCGAGCCATAGTCGGGCTGCCACGTGCACGGTCATCGGTGGTAAAAAGCAAAAGGGCAACGTTATTGGACAAGGACCTGGGGCATGTGAGTCAGGGTATATTAAACAGTGCAGATGGATAATTAATAAACCATAGATAAAGATTCATGGAAACAATCATTGTCAGCGTCATTACTGAAGACGTGGACAAAATAATCATCAACGGGCACATTTTCTTTATCTTCTGCGAAGATTGACGACTTCTGTACATCTTAGTGAGAAGCCACGCCGTTGTCGTACATTTGCATCTATTCGTGAAGGAGTGTTTTTAAACTTCTCGTTGTTCATGTGGCTTAGAATAATATTAAATATACTTTAGAAATACAACTTGTCTCATTTTTTTGTGAACACTTTGGCTTACTATGCTATTCATTTTTTTCTCTCTTCTACACTTTGCGCAACTACGTTATCTTAGTTTTTTCTTTTTTTCCCCCTCTCTAAAGGATCTCAGCTGTTTTTTATTTTTCATTTTCTTTCTGGACTTAGTCAACCAGGATGAATGATGAACAGGTCCAAATTATAGTCAACATGAGCACAAAACCTTCAGGCTTCTGCCAGAAAGCAAACAAAAAGTCTACGAGAACAGCTGGACTTCATTTTGGTTTCATCAGAGGCACTTGAAATGGGAACATGTATGTGCTGACTTCAATTTAAAATTTCAAAGTGATTTTAATTTTATTCCGAGTACCAAAACAGTATAGACCACACTAGGCATTTTCTATTTTCAAGGTGATGACCAAACTTTGAAATAGCAGTCGGTGCACATTTTAGGAAAAACAAAACAAAACTGGGGAATACCTTTTCAGTGAGTGTACATTTGAATTTTTTAGCGCTTGTGTGCATCTCATTTTTCTAATTTTCCCCAGCCCGTCAAGCCTCTGCTTTCTACCCCCTCAATGACTCGCTCCCCCCTACTCTTCTCTCCCCTCTGAGCTTGTTTGTGTGTGTGTGTGTGTGTTTGTATGGAGAGAGGCACCAGAGAGCAAAGTATGCCGTGTCCCTCCTCGTGCCGGTCCGCGAGGTGGTGACAAGTCTCTTCTCGGCTCAGCTGCTGGATCGTATCTTATCTCCCCGTTCTCGGATTGGCCTCCGGATGCTGATGCTGCCCGGCTGGAGGAAAGCAGAGGGGAGAGAGGGAGAGAGAGAGAGAGAGAGAGAGAGAGAGAGAGAGAGAGAGAGAGAGATTTTTTTTTAGAGAGAGAGAGAGAGAGAGGGAGAGAGAGACGTAAGGCATTGGTTTGCGCTGTGTTCAAGGGTGGGGATTATGTTCGGTGTCGTAAACGGGTGCAAGTGCAGCCTGCAGAGGCGTGTGGGCTGGGTCACACTTGTACTTTAAAAGACACTTGCGGAGTTTGGTGACCAGTGGAGAGGAGCTTCAGTGAGAGGTGTTCTCTCAAGTGTCTTTTTATTTATTTATTTTTTGTATTTACACTTGCTGCTGGGAGGCAGACATGGACAAGTTTGTTTGGTCAGTGGCGCTGGTGCTGCAAGCGGTGCAGCACTGTGACGCTCTGCCGGCCAGCTGGCTGCCAGGAGAGTATTCCAACACGGCGGCCGATGCAGTGCGGTTCCTCGGCGATTACAACAGCACAGCGGAGGAGGTTTTCTTCTACAGCGTGTCGGCCAGCTGGAACTACAACACCAACTTGACAGAGTACAACTCTCAACTGCAGGTGAGACCGCTCCTGGAATATCCGATCCGTTTCCTGCCAGCGCTGCGTGTACAACTCCAGTGCGTGCAAACGGAGCACTGGCCACAATTTATCTGTCGGAAAAATGAAAAGCAGACAACTCGGCCTGGATGAAAGAATGCCTGTGGTGTAAATATTTCCAACTTTTACAGTCGGTGAGTTTTTGTCACAGCGGTCTCCTAAAGGCAAGCCAGGATATGAACATTAAAATGTAGTAAATTGCCTTCACCGATGAAGCCAAAGAGTCACCAAGTGAGATTTGAATAATTACCCCCCCCCAACCAAAAAAAAAAAAAAGACTTACTCTGAGGCTTTTATTGTGATGTCTGTGCTGATACAGCTGTCACAGCAGGAATTCTGTGTCGCATCCAGTCTTGGAGAACAGGTGGAGATGCAGGCGCCCCCCCCGCCATGCCAAAGCCAGCAGGGTCACGTGTCTTGCGCCTCAAAAGTGTTGAGCCTATAAAGGTGAACGGTAAAAAAAAAAAAAGAAGAACGGGTCATAGAGTGGAACGGGAACCCATTTGGAACCCGCAATAGGCCTGCGCTTCCGTAGATAACAAACACGGAGAAGTGCATCAATGAAACGTAAAACACATTAAGTGCCATCAGTGAGGCATCTGAGTCGGGGAGGATTTGATTTCAGGGCAAATGAGGTACCGCCTGGCATCAGAGTAAAAGCCATTAACAGGAAATAAATAGATGACATTTATGAACGGCTTCAAGACTCTCAAATAGACTTCATTGTTGGTGACATTTTTCTTTAGGATGGATGCTTTACCGAGGAGATTGTCAAAGATTTGATGGCTCATTCTCCTCTGGCAAAATGACAAATATATTCATAATTATAATTTTAAGGAATTGTTTTTATTTATCGAACACCTGAGAAATCTACGAGAGTCAATACAAGTATTCCTTTCACAATATAAGCAACTGCATGCTGCAACAAAGTCACAAAAGTAGAAATAATTGCAAGATTCCCAGTTCGCCTCATGCTAACCAAGAATGGGAAACACCATAGACAGGCTAACAAATAGCATTGACGCTGCAATGTCACTGCTGTATGTTTTGTATTTGGGAGGAATAGCAGTGGAAGCTTGTGTACCTAATGTTTTGGCCATTCAACGCATGGTCACGTGCAGGCCGGATGTCGTGGTCAAGACAAATCCGCTTCCTTGATTTTTACTGTCCTACCACGGAAGACGCAATGATTGTTTTGGATGAATGGGCGGAGGCCGGTTGAAGAAGAAAAAAAAAAGTAATGGAGAAAAAGACAGCAACGGAGGAGAAGTGCACAAAGGTTCGCGTTAACGCTTCAACTCGAGCGTCGCCGCTTTCCCACTGCGTCAGCCCGCTTAGAAAACCGCAGATAAGAGCGCTCGCTCGCAACAGAAACACAGGCCGGGCTGGAAACGAACTGCGGTGCGGCCTAATCACAACGCGTGTGCAAATATTTTCCCATTTGTGATTGAGCCAATCAGTGTTTGGCACTCTTGACCTTGTGTAAAATGAACATTGTTGCAACATAGGCTGGATCGCGAAATGTTTCTTTGCAACACGCACACACACAAAGAAAAATACAGCGTGGGAACGTACAGCATCTTGGTCTTGTGAGAATTTAGGAGGGGATTGAAGTTTTGCACCTGCACAAGCTCCTTGTGCAACAACAATCGACTGCATTAACATTCTGGGCATGCTGGACCCGAAAATGTTTTTTTCGCTAATCCCCGCCTCTGTCGCGGGGGTTCTGGTCCAAACCGCCCCCACAATCAGCGAAATCCGCGATACAGATATACAGTAAATACTTCTTAGGCGTGTTTTGTACCTTTTAGGGCAATTCATTTTTGAGTTCTTTCAACACACAAACACGTTTCAACACATCCTATATTCAGAGGGAGCAAGAAGCGCAAAAGGTTTCTTATGTCCCCCCGTTGCGTTCAGGTAAACGCATCCTTGGAGGAGCAAGCTTTCATCGAGGCCTGGGGGCTGAAGGCCAAGAAGGTGTTCACCCGTGAGCTGCTTGACACCCTTGACCCCAAAGATCAGAAACTGATGAGCAACGTCATGATCCTCGGAGCCGCCAACCTGCCTCCGGAAGAAAGAGGAGAGGTGGGTCTCGAATGGTTTCGAGTCAATTCTCTCACGAAAACTGCCAATAGAACCGAGCTCTGATTTTCCCGTGCGTGTGCGCAGTACAACACCATTCTCAGCACCATGGACAGTATTTATTCAACCGCTAAAGTGCATCCGCAGCCCAACGTCAGCTGGAGCCTGGAACCTCGTGAGTAAAAATCCGACGGACCGCGGTTGTAAAGGGGAGTTTGACGACGCAAAACGTTGTAAAGAGTAACAGGATGGGCAAAGTGACTGCCCGGGCGGGGGCAAGTGTTATCGAGGTGCTTGCGGGTGTTGAGTAAAATGCTGGAACAACAACGCGCTAATTGCCCTTAACGGTGCCCTGCATTGGGGAACAATGGCCCGATGTTTTGTCTGCCAACATCGTTCAGCGTTTCCCATGCGCGATGCAGTTCCCCCAAAGTCACGTTTGGTCATAAAACTCGGCCCAAAGCGTTTCGTGCGTGTGTGTGTGTGGTCCTTTGCAGATCTCACCGACATCATGGCCACCTCCCGCAGCTACAAGAAGCTGCTGTATGCTTGGGAAGGTTGGCACAACACGTCGGGCGTCCCCCTCAAGGCGTACTACCCGAAATTTGTGCAGCTCAGCAAGAAAGCCTCACAAGCCGACGGTAGGAAATTCACACGCAAATACAGCAATGTCGTTTGTGTCACCCCAAAAAAATTATTTCAATCGGAACATCGGTTTTCGATTTCAAAGATGAGCGCGCAACGAATCAAACAAGGTCGAACGGTTCCACTTGACAGGATTTAAAGACACGGGGGCCTACTGGCGCTCTTGGTACGAGACGGACAACTTCCAGGAAGTCATCGAGCAGCTGTACAAAACAATCGAACCGCTCTACCAGCACCTGCACGCCTTTGTGCGCCGGCAACTCTACAAGCAGTACGGCCCCAAGTACATCAACCTGCGAGGACCCATCCCCGCTCATCTGCTGGGTACGACGACGCGCCGTCGCGGCGGCTTATCTCGTCACGGTGGACGGCGGCGCTTCGAGCAGGCATTTCCTATCGAGCCCGCGAGCGCGCCGTCGCCTCTCGAGGACGGATTGTTGCTCAAGTGTGTTTTTCTTCCTCGCCCTCAGGAAACATGTGGGCCCAGACCTGGAACAACATCTACGGCTTGATGATACCGTTTCCTGACAAACCCAACATGGACGTGACTGAAGAAATGCTCAACCAAGTAAGGGAGGGGGCGAGGCGAGTCTCACGCCACAAAAACAGTTTCTGCAAGTGAAACGCTGACACTTACTGGCTTTTGGGTATTCTAAATCTTTTAGATATACAAAATGTTTTGAATTAAGATATCTGCAGTCTCTCTGATCTAGAATTATGTCCCGAGCAAGCCCCGATAGTAGAAAGAGGAGCCCCCAAATTTGATGAATTCAACCGAGACGGCCATTTTTGTTTCCCCGCGCTTGACAGGGCTACAACGCGACGGCCATGTTTCGCGTTGCGGAGGAGTTCTTCACATCTCTGGGTTTAGCCGAGATGCCTCCAGAATTCTGGCAGGAATCCATGCTGGAGAAGCCCGACGATCGAGAGGTGGTGTGTCACGCGTCCGCCTGGGACTTTTACAACCGCAAAGACTTCAGGTAACCAGGATTGGACCGAGAACCATGCGTAGCTTTTCAGGGGGTCCGCGTGTGCTTTTTTTCCAACAATAAGGACATTCGTACGATTCTATTTCGTGCCGATATTGGATCTCACGATCTGTCTCTCTCTCGCGCGCGCGCGGCAGAATCAAGCAGTGCACCACAGTCACGATGGAACAGCTCTTCACCGTCCACCATGAGATGGGCCACGTGCAGTATTACCTCCAGTACAAGGACCAACCCGTGGGCTTCCGCGGCGGGGCCAACCCCGGGTTTCACGAAGCCATCGGCGACGTCCTGTCTCTGTCCGTCTCCACCCCCAAACACCTGAAGACCATCGGACTGCTGAAGTCGGCGACGTCCGACCCTGGTAAAGAGAATTACGAGAGACGTGCGGATCGTTTAAGCGGAAGTGTCCCGACTCGAGTTCCACGTGGTGTTCCTCCAGAATCCGACATCAACTACCTGTTAAAGATGGCACTGGAGAAGATAGCCTTCCTTCCTTTTGGCTACCTGATCGACCAATGGAGATGGGGCGTATTTGGGGGCAACATCCCCCCGGAGCGATACAACGCAGAATGGTGGTACCTCAGGTAGGCTTCGGTTCACTTGACTTTCCGAGCCAGTCCGTGAGTGTGAAGCTACAATGATACAAAGAGATGCGAACAGTTAAGACAATGGCATTTCTTTCATTGCCATGGCGGCAATTACTCCTCCAAATTGAGTGAAGTGAGTGGAAAAACCTCCCTTGAACCCTTAAAAATAATGAGTCAGTGTTTGTGGTTATGCTAGAAAACGGCACTATACAAAAAAATGTGAAGCTCGCATCATTAATTTGACTTCGTTAGCCTCTGGCTGTTTATTTCGGCGAATGTTCTCCGACGGAACTTTTCACTTCCCAACCTTTGAAAACTGTCCTCTCAGCTGCTTGCTTTGTCAAAATAATGTGTCACTATTTGTCTGTGTTGTGCACAAAGGTAATTCTTTCCAGGACTGATGTGTCATATAATCCGTGCCATCCATCTGTTTCTTCTTCTCCTCTCAAGGACAAAATATCAAGGCATCAGCCCACCCACCAAGCGCACCGAAGAGCACTTTGACGCCGGCGCTAAATTCCACATTCCTGGAAACACACCGTACATCAGGTAAGCGTCTTGTTTTATCCGCAGCGCCTAAAATGTTAAGGGCGCGCGTACCTCGAGGCGCTGCGCACCAAAACGCAAAACGCAATGCGCGCAAGATGGGAATGAAGGTGTCATTGTATACTGCGATCTGTCATCGGAAAGACCGGTAATGGGATTTTCAGCAATACGAAAGCTTTACAATAGCAGGAAACTGGCGGCATGGAAACAAGCTGCACTTAGCTAACCACAAAAGAACATGTCGAGTAGTAGGCAGGACATTTGCATTCCTACCTTGAGGGAATAATTTCTTTAGTCAGACGGCACAGCGGCGCTTGTGGTTTGCCACCGAGTGTGCGCATTCGCCCTGTGCTCGCGGATGGGGAGGGTACCGGTCGCGAGCCATCTAAAGGCCAACATCTGTTGCGATCTGCACACGCTAATCTAATAATCAGCATCCCCGGTGACTGTGATATTGCAGACCGTCGGTCATTTCCATCTCCAAAATTCAATTCAAAGTCTTTCTTCCGCAGGTATTTCGCCAACATCTGTTGCGATCTGCACACGCTAATCTAACAATCAGCATCCCCGGTGACTGTGATATTGCAGACGTCGGTCATTTCCATCTCCAAAATTCAATTCAAACTCTTTCTTCCGCAGGTATTTTGTGAGCTTCATCCTGCAGTTTCAGTTCCACGAAAAACTATGCCAAGCGGCCAAACACACTGGACCCTTGCACACATGCGACATCTACCGCTCTGCAGAAGCGGGGACCATTTTAAAGTACGTTTTATATTACGTGGGATCAAGCTCAGGAGAGGTGGCGGCTTTCAACAAAAGCTTTTTTGTTGTTCCAGAAAAGTTCTTCAGGCGGGTTCCTCCAAACCTTGGCCTGAAGTGCTTCAAGAGGCCATCGGGACGAACAAGATGGACGCAGGCGCACTGATGAGATACTTTCAGCCCATTATCACGTGGCTGGAAAAACAAAATGTCAACGAAGTCCTGGGATGGCCTGACTTCAACTGGGTGCCGCCCATTCCGGAGGGCTATCCGGAGGACATTGGTAAGACAAACCGTGCATAGAAAGGCTTCATGGTCGGTTTTCCTTGACCCCGCGTTGTGGCTTATATGGTCCTTGTCCGTGCAGATAAGAATACAGACGAGCTGGCTGCCAAGAATCTTCTGGATGAATACAATAGTACAGCGGAAGTGGTGTGGAATGCCTATACGGAAGCCTCCTGGGCGTACAACACTGACATTAATGAAGCCAACAAGCAGAACATGGTGAGGGATGAATTCCCTGAAATCAGCCGTCATTGCTGAGTATCTATTTATCACCAGTCGTCATCACCAGACACATCCAACTATTCCGTTCCTCCTTACCACCTTTCTTCTACATATACAACCACAACACCACCCAAGCAGTCACCACTTGGTCACCTATCACGCCTTCTTCACCCTTCAACCATCCATCCACCCGCTGAATGAAAGCTAATTTTGTTCCCCAGCTCCAGAAGAACCTGGACATGTCAGCCCACACGTTAAAATATGGCCAACGGGCACGGCAGTTCGACACGGCGGACTTCCAGGAAGACGCAGTCAAACGCATCATCAAAAAACTCAGCGACATCGAGAGGGCCGCGCTGCCGTCGGCGCAGCTTGAGGAGGTGTGGGAAAGTTGACTTTGTGCCAGCCAACAGCAGAGAGGATGTAACTAAGCCTTGTTCTTTACCGTTTTAGTACAACAATCTCCTGTCCAACATGGAGACCAAATATAGCGTAGCAGAAGTGTGCAGAGATAATGGCCAATGCCACCCACTGGATCCCGGTAAGAACTCAAATCATGCGTTGTGCATCATCCGTGGTGGTCAATGCCACAGCGAGCATGTTGTATTTTTTTTCAGACCTTCAGAAGATCATGGCGGAGTCCAGAGATTATGATGAGCTGTTATTTGCCTGGAAGGGCTGGCGAGATGCAGCCGGCAAAGTACTTCGCTCGGATTACGAGCGATATGTGGAACTGGCCAACCAAGCTGCCAGACTCAACGGTATGACCTGACCATGTTTTGCATCTCAGACGACGCACTTTAAAATGTTCCGATGTTCTATCACATTTTCTCGTTCTCACCATCCATCCTTCTTTATAGGTCACAGCGACAACGGTGCTTTCTGGCGCTCGCTGTACGAAACGCCGACCTTTGAGGAGGACCTGGAGAGACTCTGGAAAGAACTTGAGCCGCTCTACCTGAACGTGCACTCCTATGTTCGCAGGGGTCTGTACAACAAGTACGGCCCTAAACGCGTCAACCCGAGGGGGCCCATACCTGCTCACTTGCTCGGTGAGGCGGCGCAACCCGAATGGACAGCACCGATAGTCAGCTAGCTACCTTTATTATTTGGCTCTGTAGAAATGTTTCTTTGATTTAATCAGACCATACAAAACCACAAGCCAGTCAACCCAGCGAAAATGTTCCTTTTGTGTTCGGGCATAGCCCTCGCTAATATTCGGCAGCTGGCGGCAAATGCCTCTGGAGTTGGGAAGGATTTCATTTTCTTTCAGAGGCGTCTAGCGTGAGATTGTGTGTGACACTTCCACACAGTTAGGAATTCAACTGGTCCTCCCAAGAATTCCGCTTGTTGAATCAGCACAACAGAGCAGAAGTGTGTTCTGATCACACGTCTTTTGCGTCGCCTCAGGTAACATGTGGGCGCAGACGTGGTCTGGCATCATGGACCTGGTCATGCCTTATCCGCATGCCACGCAAGTCGATGCTACGCCAGCGATGGTGGCAAAGGTGAGTACGTTGACTGCGTGCGTTCTTCGAGCAGCTTTTACAGAAAATAAGCTGCAGTTTTTTTTTTATCCAATTTTTCCTTGTAACGATTCCGTCAAAACTTCCTAGTAATGACACCAAATATTCACTTTGTACGATACAGTAAGCATGTGACGCAAAACATTTCCTCTCTTAGACTGTCCTTTTGTTTTTCCATATTTCAAACATGAGGCTTTTACATTATCACTGATTTTATTTTTTCTTACAGGGCTGGAATGCCAAAAGAATGTTCCAGGAATCAGATAACTTTTTCACCTCTCTGGGGCTGCTGCCAATGCCGAAAGAGTTCTGGGACAAATCCATGCTGGAGAAGCCCACCGACGGACGCCAAGTGGTCTGCCACGCTTCCGCATGGGACTTCTACAACAGAAAAGACTTCAGGTAAAAAAAAAAAAAAAGCATGATTTTCATGTTTGAAAATGTCTCTCGCAATGTGACTAAATGTTACCTCGCGCCACCACATTCAGAATCAAACAGTGCACCGTTGTGACCATGGACGACTTGATCACCGTCCACCACGAAATGGGCCACGTCCAGTACTTCCTGCAATATAAGGATCAGCCCGTGGCGTTCCGCGAGGGCGCCAACCCTGGCTTCCACGAGGCCATCGGCGATGTCCTGGCTTTGTCCGTGTCCACACCCAAGCACCTGAAGAGCATCGGCCTCCTGGACAAAGTGGAAAACAATCACGGTGAGTTGGCATCAACTGAAATCTGACCGTATGCACGTTATAACTGGGCCTTGACCGGTGCCATTTTTTCCGGACCACAAACCCTTGTTTTAATGTTACAGAGAGTGACATCAACTTTCTGATGAACATGGCGCTCGATAAAATCGCCTTCCTGCCGTTTGGCTACCTGATGGACCAGTGGAGATGGAAGGTGTTTGATGGACGCATCCCGCCGTCCGAGTACAATAAAGAGTGGTGGAACCTCAGGTAAAGTCAGCACTCAAACAAGAGTTCAGAGATTGAGAACCAGACTGAGACGCATCAACTGATGCGTCGCTTGTTTGTCAACGCAGAATGAAGTACCAAGGCCTGTGTCCACCCGTCCCCCGCAACGAGGATGACTTCGACCCAGGTGCAAAGTTCCACATCCCGGCTAACGTTCCCTACGTGAGGTGAGTGCCGTTCTCTTCGGTAAACAAACAAACGCATCTGATAATTAATCACCGATGAACCGACGGCGTGCAGACACATGACGATGAGATAAGATAAACGAGGCGGCGTGACAGCAGGCGGCCACGATCTCTCTCCATGTGACTCAACATATGTCGCGTCCTTAATCAGCGCCAGTCGGTTTAATAAGCGCATTTATGACAAGTATATTTATCACCCTCCAGGTACTTTGTCA